TTTTTTTTAAATCAGTATTTTACGATCCTGATCTTGATGTTCATATCGGTTGTGTTTTCAGTACGGATTCTCTGATTCAAGAAACAATCAGAAACAAGTTCAAAGACTGCACTGTGCTGACGATAGCTCATCGACTCAACACGATAATGGACTCAGATAGAGTTATGGTAAGGATTCTTCATTATAGACACCTTGCATGTGACGTCAAAGCAGCTCAATCTGTAGGACAAAACAAAGAAATTTTTATCTCCTGAGAATTGGAAACCTATTGTTATATATGTCCTCCAAATTGAGCTGCATTTCGAGAAGGCCTCTATTGGATTCAGTGAATAAATTCCCCACATTATACAAAATATTTCTTTTGCATTCTTTACCGATTCTTTACACTAGAAAATGTTCATTGCAACTTATCTTGCAATCTTTTCGTGCGATAAAAATTACGTTGCAGTTGCACCACTTGGGAATGTTTCATGCAACCATAAACGACACTGTAAAGCACAGTCATTGCGAAAGGCAAACTCGAGTCATTGTTCCCCCTTAGAAATAACGAACCAATCACCGTTGCAGCAGCGTTCCCAATAAAATTAAAATCTTGTCCCACAAACAAACACACAGTATCTGTTTTAAAGAGTACTAAAAGGGTTACGAGGCAATTAGTTATATCTCTTTTCGTTTCTCAACAACATTTAGAACCAAGTCATTACAAAAGGCATTGTCCAACAGCGCCTTTAATGTTTTGTCATTTCCAGGTTCTAGACGAAGGTCGTCTGGTGGAATTCGATGAACCTCATTTATTACTCCAAAACCCCAAGGGTGTGTTCACACAGCTCGTCGAACAGACAGGTAAACGATCCATCGATGTCTTATGCGAGTCGGCCCGACAAGCTTACGAACTACGACACGATGAACCAACGAATACTCCCGACGACGAAACCGTAGGTACTCTTAGTACAAACATGGCTGATATGGAGGTAGAAAACCCAGATAAGAAATCTAATGATAATAATGGTGATGGTGATGATGATGATGATGATGATGGCAATGATAGTGATACACCGTTCATAGAATATAAAGGTACAGCATCAGAGACAAGCACTAGGTAGGCTAGATGCAGGGAAATACGTAGAGGGTGAAGGGGAGTGGGCCTAGAACAAATAAGCCCTGAGGGGGGGGGGGGG